ACAAGATAGTCCTCCAAAAAATGCCAAGAATCAGATACCTAGGAAGAGACGTCTTTCCAGAGCAAAAGAAATAGTTAGGCCTTGGGTTTCAAATATCTTCCCTCCCTTGCCTATAGAAGTAAACAAAAAAGGGGTAAGAAGCCTGAACAATAGAAGTGAAGAAGCTAAATCAATAAACTTTAAATTCAGAAACCTGCAGTGTGGATAATAATCTTTCATGTCAATAAGACTGAGAGTTACAAGTGCTAAATTGTAGATTTATTTTCTGGATGCTCTAGGAAGAGATCTGTGTATGAAAAAGTGCATTCTAGAAATCAACAATGTGAGGGATCAAAATAAAGTATACTTAAAATAGGAAGTTATTATGAAATAAAGTATCACAGGTAAGTTGATTTTAAAAATAAAAGGCAATTAACTTTGGAGTGAGATTCTGGAAGTACCCATTAGACTTCCATATAGAAAATGGAAGAATACAAACTCTTGAAATACAAGCTTTCAAGAGATAAAAATATCTTTGGGAGCCCTGTAACTGTGTGTTTGGTACTCTAGAATGATTCAAGCATTTCTGCATTAGATATTTATATTCTAATTGCAAGTCATTTGTTCTAATTGGTTAATATAGGCCCTAAATTACATGAATGTGGAGAAATTGTTTAAGATAGATAGAGATTGTCCCATGGAAATGACACGTTTACATCTGGAATTGCAGACTAGTGGCCTGTGGGGGTAAATCATGCCTACTGATATTTCTCAAAGGTATTTAAAAATCAGGAAATATTACATAACATTTTAATGTATGACCATACCAGGTGTTCAGTCTTCTGAGGCTGAAAGTGTTGGCTGAAGGTGTCTGTTGGCTGGAAGGGTCCTCACCTTAATTCAAGTGCACCCTTGATGCTAGTGCTCTCCCCTTTCTTCACTCCCATCATGTCCAAGCCAATCATTCTTGTCTTCTGTAGGCAATTATAACTGCTCTCCTACTTAAACAACCATCTTCAAGAAAATTACTCCAGAGAGATGTCACCCAAGTGTTCATCTTTTAACTTGTTATTAGTGTTTGCTAACTTTGGTTTCACCATGCTTGGTGGTTTTGTTTGGTCCTTATGTGCTCCTCATTGCTGTCTCTGGCCATATCTCCAACTCTGCCTCTGCCACAGGTGCCATGTTGATGTGTTGCCTTTTCTTTCTTGGGACACTTTCCACCTACTCTGGTTGGAGTTTGGTTCCCTCTTCTTCCACAGTACTGAAAGTGAACTCTACAACTCTTATGGTTGAGTCACCCTGATATCCATCCAAGTGGTTGAGTATGACTACTCTACTTTCACTGCACCTGTGATAGATAGCTTGCATAAATGTCCCCAATTTTGTATGTTTCCCCGTATCCACATTCTTTGGTAGTAGATGCCCCCCAAGACTGAGTCCAGGCCTCTCTGGCACCTTGCTTTGGCCAACATGACCCTAAAAAGTTGACCCGAACAGAGGCTTTAAAATGCACTTGTACATTTCCACCTCCACTCTGACCTCTGATTGCCTTGAAACCATACTCAAGCTGGCCTGAGAACACACGTAGGCTAGTCTCTTAGAAGGACATGCAAGATATGTACAAGTGAGAACACCAGAAGAACTCAGTGGTCCCAGCTGGGGCTTCTCCCTATCACAGCCCGCAGTCAGCTGACCTTCAAACACATTGAAGAACCCAGCCAAGATCAGAGTCACTTCCTTGACTCACTGCTGATGCACAAATGAGCCCAGATGAGAACCCAGAATTGTCATGCTGACTTGTACAAAAATTGAAATAATAAATGTATATTGTTTGAAGCAACTTAAGTTTTGGAGTAGGGTTGTTACACAGTAGTGACTAACTGATATGGTGTCCCAATAAGTGAGATTTGGGTTGAATTTAGGATGTAGTCTTCTCATGAAAAATGAGTATATGTATGAGAAGAGCTACACACTTAACAATATGCTAAGAAAAAAATATTCTTACTATATTTTGAAATTGCTCAGAAACAAAAAAAAATAGAAAATCGTTGAAGGGTTGGTTTGGGGTAGGTTGTTTTGATTTGGAAGAATGTAAATATGTCTCATCTAAAAATCAAACGTTCTGGAGACATTCAAACCCAATGTTTGTGTTGTAAGTGGCATTCCAAACCCATTTCCACGTAGGTAGGGGACCTTGGACTGACATACAGAAGAAATTTCCCAACAAACTATTGCCTTCACTATAACTTTGAGGTCTTTGTGCAGAAATGTGAGTAGAAATAAGTGCATTAGGGACCTCAGAAGGTTTGGCCGTGCATTTTAGATGCTTATCTGAGCCACACGAGTTAGGAATCTGGGATGGAAAGCTCCTAAGAATAACCATTCTCACGAAATTTCCAATCCCTCTTGTTTTTGGCAGAATTTTAAATTCCGTGGAAATGGCTCATGTCGCAAGACTTCTGTGTGGTGTTGGCCAGCACCAGGAAGAAGAGCGGCCCAGGAAGGGAAAACCAAACCAATGTGGTTGCATGTTTTCACGCCTTTGAAAAGGTTTGGGTTTGGCTCAAACCAAGAAAGAGCACTTGGGTTTTTTATTTTCTGCCAGCTCCTTCAAATACCATTCACCTGACTCATGACGCTTTGAACATCAGGAGGAAACAAGGGAGTGCATAAATTTCCAATATTCCTCATGTTCAAAAATTCTTTGAATGAGGCTTCCTCTTACTGAGAGAAGAAACAGGAATACCACTGGACCAAGACGGACTTGCACTGTAGTTTTCACGGAGGGGTGGAGTGGCAATGCGATTTGTGAATCAGTCAACTCATTATGTGCCATAAATGTAGGTGATACCACCAGAATTCACTCCTCCTCTTAGACAGCCCACATGGTCAAGGAAGGGGGAGAAAACTGGACCCAATTTTCTGGCTTGTTCTGAAATTTCACAGGAATTTTATAAACCCAGCAATGTCCCTCATTTGTGTTTTTGAGAATAATTTTGCCATTTCACTGTCTCATGTGCTGATTCTACTGCCTGGAATGTCCTACCACCTGTTGTCTGCCTAGCAAATTCCAATCCTCTCCCTCATGCTGCTCAGACATCAACCTTTATCTCACCCAACCTAATTAACCACTCCCTCATCTTTGCTATCCCTCTACACAGTGTACAAATTTATATTGGTGTGCTTAACATACAAAACTGTGTTCTCAGCACAGTGCCTGGGGGCACAGTAGATGTTTCGTAAAGGGAAATGGATTGCACGATACAACACTGTACAACACTATACAAGCCCTCCATCAGTATTAGTCTCTTCCTTATGTCTTAACCTCACGCTACGCACCCACTCCTCCTTCCCAACTTAACTTCCCTGCAGGTTCCGCACACCCTCTCTGTCTTCCAGGTCACTCTGTCTGCCTCATATGCAAACACAAAAGGTCAGCAAATGCAACTGATCTAATTCTAAGGTGCTCATTTAAAGGGATCTTATCTTCCAGGCTCCAGCAACATTTAAAGCACTGAATATTGGACATCTAATAATATGGCAATATTTGGATTTATAATATGGAAACTCTCTCTCATGAAGGTAAAACAGGGTAAGGATAATCTGATGTAGTTTATTTTTCAAGTTGCCAGTGGCTGGCTGGGGACTTGATCAGATAATAGCATGACATGGTACTAATGAAGCAAAGGTCAGGGTTTGCATCCCTGTCTAGTCCAATTAGCATTATTGTTTTTCACATTTTCCTTCCCTTCCTCTCAATCTCAGCCAAGTCTCCTGCAATTTAGAGCAATTGTGCAAAGGGGTTCCTGAAAAGAGAGGACAGGAAGGACAACAAAAAAAAAAACCACTCTTATTTTTGGAAAGTAAGCTGACAGCTTGTATGTTCTTGCATGTGTGTACATGTGTGCTTGTGCACGGGAGGGTCACTGTTCACTTGTGCACAAATGTAAGTGTCTGTCTACCTAATCTCTCTCTCTCAAATGATTTGAAAAGAATTCATTGTTTAAGTCAGATGGAAGGATTATGTTACTTGAATACTGGTATTTAATGTATATTATCACATTTGTTATCATATCAAAACCAGATGTTTAAAATTTGGGCTAGAAATTCCATAATACGGATTGTATTACCTCAGAGTCACCCTACTACCTAATGTTCACTGCTCAGCTGTATTTTGTTATGGCTTTAATAGAGCAATAATGTGTTTCCACAAGTCTTAGTCTGGTATTAGATAACATGTGGGCTAATTTTGGTGGGTTGAGCAGACTGGTAGGGGGTTATACAAACCAGAGCAATTTGCTTTCCCAACAATAAGAAAATACATGAAGAATTGTTGCTAATGGTCAAGACCTCTCTCTCTCTCTCTCTCTCTCTCTCTCTCTCTTACCCCCATCCTTACCTCCTTTCTTCTCTCTCGCACCCTTTCCTTATTTATCATTTTCTTTCATTCTTTACCATTAGTTACTTTATTTTTTTTTAAAATCATCATTTTTACTATCTCCACATGTCCCTCAAACTTCTTCCAGAAACAGAATCTACCTACAATTACTTTATCTCGGCTGAAGCTATTTGAAACCTTCCTCTTAATTTGCCTTTCTCACATAGCTTCTGTACTGATAAAATTAAAACAAGCAACTCAGAAAACTGATAACATTCTCGATTTAAAAAAATTATAATCCAGGCAATGTAGATAAGGTTAAAGAGAAAGAAAGAAAGAAAAGCCCCCGTGGAAGCAAGCCAGCAATTCATCTGTTTGCATTAATAGGTTCCAGCAATGGCACTACAGGCACGGAAAGCCTGTTCGCCACTGCACTTAGCAAGCACATGAGCTTAAAAATAAACTTTGACAATGTAGATCTCTTTGTCCTTTCAGGAATGGAAAACATTATGTACTTCAAAGCATACTAAGCCTGATTTTAAAACCTAGTTGGGATATTGTTACCGTGGCAATCGGGAGGGTCTTCAGGCAGTCCGTGGAGGCTTCGTGGGCAATAGTGCTCAAGCCACAGACTAGTGAGAGTAAATGACGTTGGCAAATCTTAATATGCTCCTTCACGAGGAAGAAACGTCTGTCTTTTAAGCTCCCTGGAACAACTGGGATCTAGTTCCTCATTTCAATCAGGAAATCTCTTTCTGAACCAAACTGCTAAGACAGAGTATTGGAGTAGCACGTTTCACTGGCGTACAGCAGCATTGGTTCATTTTGGAGTGTTTTTGGACAGGAAATCGATCTACAGGGTAACTTTCACACAAGAAAGGAAACAGTATGGGACGATGGCTTGTTAGTACAAGTGACTCCGTTTTGGATATTACGGACAAGAAACCTTGGTGGAAGAACAGCATTCAAGATCAAAAGCATGATGACTCCTGATGAAAACATCCCCAAATGATGAACCCACAAGCAAAAAGGAACTTCTACTGTAAGTATCTTAGCAAGAATCACGTATCTCATTTGTTTTCAAATTTTCTGGAGTACATGGAGTAGATTTCCAAGCGAGTATTTGATGTAGGGAGTCTTCCTAGACAAGTCTATAATTAAACTCATTGGGTGGTTCCAACAGGGGGTTAGTAACTGGAACTTTTTCCATGACTTTGCAACACTGAAATAAATTGCACGTTCATGTGGGCATGTTTTATATAATAGGCATGTTATATCAGGCTTTTATTGTGTGATGTCTTAATTCTGGCAATGCAAAGTTGATGAACATGAGTATCTACACATTCCATTACATTTGGACTCTGGTCATTTAAACTGTCTTTGCTTTGGTTTCATGTTATAGTTCATCTTGTAATCAATTTTCCACATATAGATTGACACATGTTATTTGCAATTTACTTAGAATATTAGTTATTTTCTCAGTGAATCTTATTTGTTTACTAGGGAAGAGATAGCTCAGAATCTTAGAAATGGGGAAGAAAAACTCTGATAGTTTACACTAAAACCTGGGAATGAAGACTTTTTTTTCTTTTTACATTTCCATATTTATTTGGTGAGTAGTATTGTTTGAAAAAATTGTTTAGATGTCTCTATGTAAGATTTTTCACTCCATTCGAATAGGATTATGATCTTGGAAATGGAAATCAAGTTCATCAGTAGCATAATCCTATGTAAATATTCAACATAGCTAAGTCCATCTTTAGTGCCTGGCAGAGTACATACTTATTAGGAAGTTTTTGAATGTATATATGTTGGTTTTGGGTCATAGGACAAATGTCTTGATTGTACAGTAATCATTTCATATTAGGATTCTATTTTATTAACTTATCCATGAATGTGATTGAATTTTGTTTAACAGAAACTGCATAATAATGAGGTTACATTGCATTACTGTTTCCAATAAGGAATTTCTTTAAAAATGAAATTTCTAATCAATTTCTATTCTTGGTTGTTTTTCTCTTCAAATACAAGGGTTTGTTCAACTCATTGTTTATTTGAAGGGATATAAAGTTTTTGGAGCAATTCAGTATATAAAATATCAGCTGATTTCCAATTAGGATGCAATTTCCAGGTGTTAATTTGTAGCCCTGGAATTGTAATTAGCTAATTTGGAGCCCCCTCTGCTGAAGATTGGTGGGTAAGCCAAGACATTGGCCAAACCCTCAAATGGGGGAGATCATTTTTTAGGTGTAAGGAGCATGAAAATAAACTGAGAGGCAAGTGGATGAAGAGACTCTTGGAGTCAAACCAAGTGTTCCTGGAGTGACAGGAGAGAAGCAGAAAACACGGAGAAAGGCACTGATTGGGAGAGAGCTAGAGAGGTAAGGTAGTTTTATTAGAGCTGCCGTCTCTATCTTCTACCATGCCAGATAATAATGCCATAGATAATTGTTAAACTGAATACATGTCCTTCTGCTATTATAAGTAACAAGAATGCTGTACAGGTGATTTTACCCCATCTTGTTAGAAGTGGTGGTAGAATCCTTTGGGTAGAAACTGACAGGAACTGTAACTAAGCAGCAATTATCATCAAGGTAAAATACTTCGGGGTAATCATATACAGCATTTGGATAAGCTTAAATTATCCCATTAACAGTTCAGTCCTGTCTCCTACTTAGAGGTATATTTTATATATGATTTATACAGACAAATCTGTCAGAATATAATTCTCATTAGAATAAGCCATTCTATAGGAATCATTTCAAAGCTCTCTTAAGAATTAGAAGATTTGTTATCATCCACACTTTTTTCAGGGTAACATCATCTGGATTTATTATGTAGAATTCTGGAACCTCAATCAAGAAATGATGTAACATTAGAGAAGTCCTAAGGCATATGACTATTTGACGAAAGCCAAGTCAGTAATATATGATAGAATGATTACAATTTTGAGGATTATCTTCAAAAGGAAAATGTCAGCTTAGAACCCCTCCACCCTCCAGAAGGATCGGGATATAGTTGCTGATGACAAATGATAACTTGAATTTTTATGGCGTGATATATTTTTTTCTAGTTAGTTGTTTGATATCAGAAAGATCTATACCCAGAACTATGCAAGATTTGCCATACCAAGAGAAATGAGTTCCCTGCCATTGGTGATATGATATAGGAAAGGAGATTCAAAATAGAGGGGAAAGAAAAGTACTTGGAGATTTGGAGTCAGACAATTGTTTCTTGGAATTCCAGACCCCATAATTCCAGTTACTTATAGGCTATGTGACCTGGAGAAAATTACTCAAACGCTAAGTTTCTGATTCTTCATATATAATATGGAATTAACAATTCTTCCTCCTTGGAATTATTACTGTAAAGATTAAATGAGACAATTTGTGCCATGCTTGGCCTATAGTGAGAGTGCGGTAGGATGGCTAACCTACATGAGATCTTGGGGCCATTCTGAAGAAGCAGTTCTGGTCATTCTAGCTGTTTAAAATAATTCCTAAATTCCTTGGTTGTGCTAAATGCTACCCAAAGATAAGGCTCGATGGAACTATCTATTCTTCACTTAGTGAGCTCCTAATATAAGAAAATTGGTAAGCAAAGTCCCTATAAGTGCAATGAAAGAATGAGTAAGGTGCTCAGAATGTACAAATAAAAAATAACAAAGTTTTTAAAAGATGATTTAAACATGTGAGGAGGTAAAATCAATTTGATTGACTGTCTGTAGTCCTCAGTGATTCAGACAGTGGAAACACTGGATTGGCCATCATTAATTAAGTTTCCCTTCCATCCTGTGTCTAATCATCTTAGGGAACCCACCGTAATCAGCAAAATCATTCTCAGCAGAAATGGTGTTTTTGAGAGTTTAAGGACTGAAAATGTTCATCTTCAAGATATTTCCTATGACATCTTTCTATAGTGCCTACAGAAACCAAAGTTTTATGTGGACAGTGTATTTTGATGATTTGATTTATTGTGTTCATTTGTTACAAGTGCAAAGCACTTGGCAGAACCATCATTCTTACACTATGGCTGAAACTGGCTTAAGCAATGTTTCCACATCACAGCTATGAAGTAACAATCTAGCTGTCAGATTTCCTATGTGGAAAGTTACCATGTATTTGGGAGATGTCAGCAGTGGCTATTAAAGAAAATATTATCTTGCATCTATATAGTGCCATTTTATTTTCAAAGGATTTCCACATATATTATTTCATTTGTTCTCATCCTTAAAGCAGAGAGGGATGCTACATTTACTTCATTTGCTGCATAATATGAATAATAAAGCAGAACGAAGCAGAGTAGTCTAGGGAGAATGTTGACTATAGAGAAAAGAGACTTTGCATCTAGCATACTTTGTCTAGTGATTTTATGACAATCACTGATTTTTATCCAGAAATATATAATTCATCTGCTTCTTTCGTGCTTTAATGGGAGCCTTAAACTAAAGCGGTAATTAACACTTAGGTTGCATTGTGTCTTCCACAGAGACCCAACCAACCAGACACACACACGGAGCAGACCTAGTGCAATTAGGTCAACCTCAGTCAAGTGTGCAGAAAAACCTGAGTGTCTGCAATTCCCTGTCTTCTCCACTACCAATATATTCCAGACACTTCAAGAGAGTAAAGGTGTTCATATCTACTCATTTAAACTTTTTATTTTACAAAGGAGTCAAGGCCACAAGTTGTGACCTTGGCAACCTTGCTTGGCTGAAATAATATGGTTCTGGACAATTGGATTTTATACAATTTATATTATTTTATTTATATTATAGATATAATTATTATAATGTTATATAATAATTGTATGTATACCAGTTAATGAGGTGACAGCATCACGTAAAACTCTGCTCCATAGCTTCTCAGAGGCTGGTCAGCTACTACATCTTGCAGGCATAGATTCTGAGACTCAGGGCATAGGTCTATCTGTCGACTCAAGTCTAGTAATCAGAAGTCTTCCTTGGTATGACTGAAGATTTTAGCCAGCAGGAACCACAATTTACAGGTACAAGAGAAAAACAGAAAAACCATATAGCAGTAGAATCCAACTATCTCACAGTCAACCACAAGGTGATTTGGAAATGCAACGTGTTGATTTTTTTTCATATTAGTAGCTTTGTGTGTGCAAGACTCTTTTTACCCAGTTCTTGATTTTCTTTTCATTTGAAAGGCTAACATTGCTACACGTTCTGTTGCAATCGTTTTGGTTGGTGGTATTTCATGAAAATGTAGGCTTAAAGAAGAAATCGTGGAATAGAGAGGGCTTTGATGCATTTGAATGGAATCGAATGAAGCTTAGAGAAGTTCTGCCCTGGTTCTGCATGGGCACTGCTCAGAGAGTATCCCATGATTGTTCCTTCCTCCTGTGAGAGAAATGGCCCCTAAGTTAGACTAAGCGCAGCAGAGCTAGTGGCGATGTGATGACACATCATCACATAGTATGATGCCAAAGGCTTTGGTTTCCCTCATGCTGTTTCCCCCTTTTGAAACCCAAGGTGCAGGGTCAAGGTGGATAGAACAGTCCCGTGCAAAAGGCACTGATTTCTTTTCACACCTTGAGAGTTTAGAGTTCTGAGTAGTGCAGTCCTGAAAAAGTTCTTGCTTCTTTGCCTTAATGTTTTTAAGATTTGATTTATTTTGAGAAAGGTGTAGGATTCTCACTCCTTCAGGGTGAGATAATCTGCTCACTGAACACTGCTTTTTGTTTGAGATATACATATATATATATATATATATATATATATATTTAAGTTATTTAAAAATCCACATGAAGTAAAAATCCACTAATGTTTGTGTGCATAGTTCTGTGAGTTTTGACAAATGTGTAGTCTTGTAACTAGCACTATAATCAAGATAAAGAACAGTTCTTTCACCCCCAAAATATTCTCTCATGATGCCGCTTTCCTATGGAAACTCCCTCATATCTAGGTCCTGGGACCACTTACCTGTTTTTTGTTTCTATGGTTTTGCCTCTTCCAGAATGTCATAGAAGTGAAATCAGAGAGCTTGCAACCTTTTCTGTCTGGTTTCTCTCACTTAG